CACATTACAGCTCCAATTGCATTCCAGAAAGATCTGATGGTTTGTGAGACATATTGAGCACCTACTCAGATAAAAACATTCTGCTAAGCGCATCCCATGTATTCCCCCACATCACACTGGACCTTACAAAGCCATGAGTCTCACTCGCAGCTTATAGATGATGGAGGAACAAGGGGTGAGCTGGAGGCTAGCGCGTGGGTGTTGAAGGGCTGGAGTCTACTAGGCCACGTGTGTGGACATATATCTGAATGTCTAAGGCAAACTATACAAGTTGTTCTTGACTTAGCCAATAAAGCATATCGGAATGTTCTTACAAAGGTCTTTAAAATATAACTTTACTGAAATTAAGTAAATTTCTTGAAGGAGCACACATAGGCAGCCTGTTCCATAAAATACTAAACCTGCTATTCTAATATTGGGTTTCCATTTACGAAGCAGGTCTCTCTTTGGACTCTCATAATAAAAATAGCTGCAGAATTCTTAATAACAATTTTTATATATGAAATTATTTTCCACAGCTTTATCATTTCATTAAAAATGCAATGCATTCATCCTTTCCTGACACTCTGACCAAAGTCTCAATTTTCCCTTCCAATTCTACTTAGTAGGCTAGACTGAGTTAGATATACACAAGAAAACCGCATAATTATCAGTCTCAGGTTGGTGTTTGGCTGTAAGACAAATTTATACTAGTTCTCATTGCTGAAGCCAGCCTTATCTACTCAAGAGCACGTGAAGGGCCTTCCAGGGATCTGGGGTGTAAGAACACTCTTGCAAACCAACCTGCTGCTTATTCTAACTGCACTCAGGTTAAACACAATTAACTCAGGTGAGGCTTGAAGACAACGATGACAACGTCTTTACAACAGTGTGTGCTCTACAACGATGACAACGTCTTTACAACAGTGTGTGCTCTACAACGATGACAACGTCTTTACAACAGTGTGTGCTCTACAACGATGACAACGTCTTTACAACAGTGTGTGCTCTACAAAGGCGGTTTCTTCTAATTTAAAAAAAAAATGGCACACTCCTAACAGGAGCAAGAGTTCTCTTAGAAACAGGTTCCACCCAAAGACAGTAATAAAAGAGAAAGTTATAACTCAAATATCATAGGATTATTAAGTAATTGGTTATTTGTTGTTCCATTTCTTTGACTCATGTTGCTTTAGGTGAATTTGATATTTTGTCCTTTTAATTGACTAGGAGGTAGAAAAATGTCACTATTTATTAAAACCACGTATGGATTAAACTCCTTTACTTTTAAAAACCTTAATACCCTATTTTGACCATATTTGCAAACAGTACATTAATGTGTTCATGTTACATAATATAGTGTTACAGAAAGAAGCTAACTGAAGAAAAAAATAAAGGAATGTGTTCTGTAAAAATAAAATTTATCATGTGATAATAATTCTACCAAACTAAGAGACCCTAATTCAGTTCACAGCCAATGGTAAATTTATTTAATAGTATTGGAGAGTAAAATGATTTTGTAGTTGTTGTTGAGTTTGTGGGGAGGGCTGCTGGTGGTGGTGGTGGAGGGCTGCTGGTGGTGGTGTGGTGCATGGGGTTTTTTTTTGGTTTGGTTTGGTTTGGGTTTGGTTCTTTGAGACAGGGTTTCTCTGTACAGCCTGGCTGTCCTGGGACTCTCTATGTAAACCAGGCTGGCCTCAAACTCAGAGATCCACCTGTCTCTGCCTCCCTAGTGCTGGGATAAAGGAGTGCGCCACCACAGCCTGGCTGGGAATAAAACATTTAATGTGCCTGTAAAAATTAAACTTTTTTCTTTTTTCTAAAATAACTTATTAACTTAAAAACTGAATTAATTTAAAAAGTTTTGAGATTAGTTGTCTTAAACTAATTGACTGACAAATATAATACTAATTACACATGAAAAAATAATCACCTGGATTTATTGAGGAATTTCCACTTTCCAGAGAATTGCAACAGAATATTAAAATGTATTTCTTTTTGTCAAGTGAATATTATAATATGATTATGGCATATAATTCACAAGTTTTTCATTTTTCCTTAGGCATGATAATTTCTTATTTATTCTTCAAATTTTGCAAGTATTCTACCTACTGTTCCACTTAATATGATACAATTCAAAGTTACACACGAATTTAAAAGTAATAAAAACATTGAGTTATTTAATGTGTTGTTTCCACTTCTTTCTCTAGTCACCTAAAAATTAAAGTGGGTAAACTTCAGATCCTTAGAGTTTGTGCAGCTGCCATTAGTGAATGCTCGTGGCAGGAAGAGAACTTCCATACAAGCAAAGGGGGGGAAGACTGGCATGCCTGGTTGGGACGCAGGTCTTATTTGGAGTTTTGCAAAGTTTTGTCTCTATGCCGTTGCATTGGGATACTCTTACAAATTAAATGAGATTTTTAAAATAATTTAATATTGTAGTATAGTTCTTTGTAGAAAAAGACTACATTCGAAAATAAATACATGTTTAGAGTTCATCCACAAACTGATCCTCACAGCTGGGCCCAGAGAAATGTTTGTTCTCTCATGGTTTGTAAGCTGGTCACTCACCCTCACTGTGAGAGAACTCTGAATGAGTCAGGAGCTGAGCTGTACCACAACTTAATTTGAGACGTGACCCCTGTCTGCCATAAGATACGACTTACATTAGTGCTTTAGTAGCTTCCCTAAATCCCAAACAAAAACAGGGAATTGGATGCTTGGACTTGATCTGAATTCTGGAAAGGTAACATCATTGTACCTCTAGAAGAAGAATTAGACTCACTAGGTTCACTCAAAGTCACGTATGAAGCATGAAATACATTTTGCTTAGTGAATACCTATTTCAGTTCGTTAAGGGTAATTGCATTAATTTATCTGCAAAATTTGAAAGCAACTCTAAATAAATAGTGGCTATCAAAATGTAAGCCGACTGGTAACACTTGCAGTTGCTGGACTGGCTGCAAACAGCCATCTAAACATGCTGCGCTACAAACAGAACAATCTAGGGGAAACCTAGCTCAGATCACAGGAGATGTGACGTTTCTGAATTCTGTACTTTATTTGACATGCTTAGGACTTGTCTCAGACTATAGGCACTGATTTCAGGATGCTAAAAGGCATATCTCCTGTAGAGTTAAACTAAGATAAAAAAAAAAAACATAGCTTCATTTTCAGACGTTTATTTATTTTAAAAGCCACATTTATTCTAGAACGATATGAATTCTTATTTTAATCTCCCGGTTATTAACTCAAGTCATGTCTATGCCTAAAGACCATCAATATTCACTGTCTGGCATTTTTCTGTTACGGTTTTTGGTAATAAAGATTATTTTAAATAATGCTATTAATACAGGTGAGGATATTTAATTATACAAGATAAATGATTGTGTTTGGGAGCATTAATTCAACAAAAATCAGAAGAGTTCGTGAAGTTACTAATTTACAATATTTTATTAGTATAATACCTAATTTCAGAGAATAATCCATCTTAGAATAAAGCTTTTCAATTTCTGTTACTATAGAGCATTAGGTTATTTAATGTGTTGATTCTTTCTCTAATTACTTAATGAGCATTTGTAAGATGTCATATCTTAAAAACACCTTACCCATGTCTGCACAGCTGAGAACCCAGTGGTATAATAATAAAATAATAATAATAATAAACCTGAAAACATAAATCAGCTGCAATGTTTTTAAAAATTGCAAGTATATGAATTAATGTTTCCATTACATTGAAAAACATGAATGGACACAGAGCCAAGAATCATTGAGGAGTTACTCAGGATGAATCTGTAAGACACTGTTTGCCAGACCACGAGTGGCTGTGGTCAGAAGGGCAGCTAGCATGGAAAGGCATCTCGCAGTGTACAATTTCATTTAAACAAGAAAACATAGAACTCATTAACTATGCTAATAAACACCACTTGGATCCAAATCTGATGTCTGACATCCCCTGGCGATAATTTGCAATGCTTCCATAACAACCACTTCTAACTGGACACTAGTTTCTGAAGTTCTCAGGACGGTCTGTACTGTGGGAGAGGGGACTACAGATGGTTCATCTCAGCATCGTTCCAGCGATGCTTCTCTGAATACCTAACCGAATTCCTCGGTTTAAGGAGTTAATACACTCGCTTGTCATAGCACCTTGTTTTTCTATCTATAGAGAGCTCCTATCATATTCCTCCCTGAAAGTTTGCAGAAGGGCAGTTGAAGTAACACAGCTCTTGGGCTTCAGAGTTTAAAAACCGTGAAGTAATGCAGAGACCACTACTTTTTTTTTTTTTTAACAACACTGGGCAGTTCGGGTTTTTTGTTTTGTTTTGTTTAAGTTAGGTAGCTTTTGTTTTTGGTTTTGGTTTTTTGTTTTTCCTTACCTTACTTGTAAAACATGATCTAAATACAGTGGAAACAGTTCAGGAACACCCCCACCAAGAAAACAAACAAGCAACAGCAAAGAACAACGCAAAACAAAAGTAAAGGTATTTACACAGATTAGGCAACAAAGAACAATGAGAATCCCCTCCATTCGGTAGTTCTGAGTGTGAACAGGAGTGAACCGCGAACACAAGTCCTGCTTTGTCTGTGTTCCGTCACACAGGAAGACTCTTGGACCCGGTGAGTCTTCTGCTACCCCTTCCTTAGAATACTGATTATGTGGAAAATTTAAAGACCCTTCCTGAGAGGCAGATGTTTTCCAGCTGTCAGAGCTGAATTTAGCTAATAGCAGAACTAGTTTTAAATGGTATTGTTTCCGGATTCAAAAATTGGTCCAGAAATTTGCCTTTCAGCCCATTCTCGTTGTTATTAGTTGGTAATTTTATTTTCTAAACACCGCTGTAAACACTCTTATAGACTAGTAATAGATCTGGTATGCACTCTGGAGTAACACTCTCTAGTTTCCCTGTGTAGAATTAAAAAAAAAAAAAAGGCGGTCTCAACATTATTTCAATGCCACTAGAAACATTGCCAAACTACCTGAGAATTTTGCTAAGAATACATATTTTGAGTAATACACTTACCAAGCACAGCTTCTAAGGAAATTCTGTGTGTAATAGTCACAGGAGGGATTTGAGTTTCTGAGATTCCACAGGAGAGAGTTCCCAGGCGACGAGGTGCGGGAGTCTCAGCCTTGCAATATGGTCCTGCAGGCGGGCGAGCTCCAAGCAGCGGAGCCTGAGTCAAGGCAGGACTGCGCCGCTGGAGAGAGAGGGCTTGCTCTGAGGAGATGGGGAGTGTTGTCAGATTGTAAGTGATCAGTCACAGAAGGGAAACATCACCGCTTCCTGTTACATCACCCCGCCCCGCCTGCAGTTAGTGTTAGGTTACTTTCTTTCTCAAATAGCTTACCCCAGGAAAGCAGCTACAGCTCGCTTCTCCCTCTGACAAGAGCAAGAAGCAGCCTGAACAGACAGAGATCCTTTGCTGTATGAACACATTGTTACCAGCCAAAGCTGGCTGGCTTTCACCTAGACTGAGTTGTCGGAACTTGCTGACCGTGATTTGAAGGCAGTCTAAGTGTAGGGGTGTGTGTGTTGAATTAGAGTTCCCAGAACAAATGGAGCCAGTGCTATCTGTCACATCTTTCTCTGAAATGCACATGGAGTTGTGAGCATCAGAATTACTTCAGACTCAATAATTCAGAGCACTGATATGTGATCCAGTTCCACAGTCAATTTTGCACAAGGAGATGAAGCAGCTTTGGCCTGCTCTTTCTAAAAACTCCTTTTACTCATTCATGACATAAGTATATGTGTATGTATTATAAAGTCAATTTGGGTACAGAATGTAAAAATCATTGTACATACTTTTAAAATTTGATGTAATTATATCACTGTATATAACCTAAACATTATATTTATCTCAAAATAAACTTAAAAAAAAACGTTTTGTGGCTATTTTGTAACATGATACACTGAAATAATTTTATATAGTAAAAACGTTAATTTTTTTCTAAACGTTTTATCTCTAAACATAATTGTATCATAAGTATTTTAAGAAAACATTGAGTATTAGTAGGGAAAAAACTGTAAACCTGAAATATATTGTTAGTTCGTTTTATCTAATATGATAATATGATAAATTATGAGATTTGGCAATAATCATAACTCCTGAAACCAGACAATACTAAAAGTCACATGACCTTGGCACCAAATTTCTCACCTGCAAACCGGAAACAAAGGATGAAATAACATCCAGAATTCTTTATATCTTTTAAACTTTGAATCAACGTATTTTATAACATTTAGAAAGTTGTAAGCTACTCTTCTGAGCATGAAAATCTCACAGGACTGAGCTCGAAGGCACAGACTAGTAGTATCAAACTGAGGAGCCCGGAGTCCCTGCAGATTAGTAACGGAAGTGAAGACAGAGGCTACAGAATCTAAGAATAGCATGTGGCTGTGGTCTTTCTAAACTTTTGCAATCTAGATCTGTGGAAGAAATTCATTACAAAATCTTTAATTTTATGTATATATATAATAGGATATATATATATATATGTAAGAGACATAATTGACAATCTCAATCAATCACCCATATAGCAAGAGCTATATAAAAAGCTGAAATGACACAAAGTAACCCGGTGAGGTACATTGGGAAGTTACTTTGTATAGAATTTTAGTTTTGCTTTCTTTAGGGAACTGTTATATTACATTTTTGTTGTGCTGTTTCCTTCCGCTCTTAAGAAGAAAAATCAACTCTGTGAATCACAGCTGACTCCTTAAATAATAACCATTAATCAGAAGAACAACAAAGACATTCCTGGGTGCCTAGGCAGAGCTCTGATGTGGAGTCCCAAGCGCACAGGGAACAAGGAGTGAAGAAATAGAGTAGCTACGACCCATGCAGGTCCTCACGCTTGCTGGGGTGATCTTGACAGAACTTCTAGGTAGGGTGTTTACAACGTAAAGCCCAGAGAAAAATGAATACTAGATTTTAACTTCCAAATGATCGCAGTCCATGCCCATAAATCCCATTCTAAGAATGTTTGGCCAGACAGACTGGCGTGTAGAAAGCTACACACATTTCCGTAAATGCTAAGGCATTAACATCTTTTAATTCATTCATTGGATTTGCTCAAACGAAACAGAGTCTTCGTAAGGAAAGGAATTCTTTCTCTGAGATGATGCCTGGAGACTCACAACCCAGTGACCATTCTCCTGTATGACAGGTGTACAAGGAGCTGTTACAAATGCAGAATGTAAGACAACTTGTAGTATTTAGAATAGATTATTGGTTGGGCACACAGGTTTATGGCTGTGGCATAGAGATTTAGGATAAATCTTGTTAGTATCATATATGTGTCTTAGAGTAGTAAACATACATTCCAATAATCAGATGGACACATGCTGTATTAATACATGCTATATTCATAGATGCTATAAAAGCTTCTGGGAGGCTAGCGAACCTGAGATATGTAGGGAAAAGTGAAAAGACTGAGTGAAACCTCTCACATGTATGCTTTAAACATGACAACAAATGTTTGGATACCTACAGTAAAACGAAATTATACCATTTCCAGAAATCGGCGAGGCAATTCTGAGCCAGTGGGGTTTTGCTAATGCAGCCATCCGGTCATAGAGACCCCACGTGTGTCTCATTTGTGACCTTTCCCAGAACACAGTGAAGCTGTTTAATCATTTGATAAGTCGTGATCAAGTTTGTAGTTTCAGATAAGCACTCAAAATGACTCTGCTTTAGGAAATAAAGAACAACTAAGAAGTGTCTTCTCTTTTGTCATGTAAAAGACAGTGAAAAGCATTCAAGAAACCACATTCTCGGGGGCTGGAGAGATGGCTCAGAGGCTAAGAACTCTGGCTGCCCTTCCAGAAGTCCTGAGTTCAACTCCAGCAACCACATGGTGGCTCACAACCATCTGTAATGAGATCTGGTGCCCTCTTCTGGCCTGCGGGCAGCATGCAACAGAACGCTGTCTACATAATAATATAACATAATATAACATTATCTGTCATTCGCAGATGATGCTGCCAGTAGAGCCGCATAGTGGCAGGCACCATGCAGAGGGCTTCCAGTCCACTTTTCTGTCTAGTGAAGAATGCTACACAAATGAAAGGCATTTTGAGGAACGGCCAAGTTTGTCCACTTCAAAATTTTACTGCAGGACTTACGTCTTCCATTTTGGTCCTTTATGGGACTCAGAAGTACCAACGTCTCTAAATAAGGCAAATGGCTCCCCTACAAAACGGCCCTTGCCTCACAAGGCAATTAATCAGGAGGATCTAAAACAAGCTCTTACAGCCACAAGTTAAACCAGTTAGAACGAAAATCGTGAGTGAAAAACTTGGGGTTCTGTGGACTTAAGTGACTGCTTGAGTTTCTGTTGCTACTGCCTTGAAACGTGGTTCTTTAAGAACAACTGAAACAAAACCCTTTTACATGGAGCATGCTATAGCTAGACCATTCCCAGAGAACGTGCAAGGGCTGTCAAAGAAGGCATTTAAAAATAGTTTGTGGATGCTGTCGGATATTATATTCTAAATTAGCAATGTTTTGTGTTTCTAATCATGCAAAATTCATTATCTTTAAATCATTGATGCAATTAAAAGTTTAATTGCTTCATCCCTTAGAAGAATTCACTATTTGAGAAACTCATAAGTTTTACACACTTATATCAAAAGAAAGTTTATTAAGATAACAAGTTGGCTTCAGCATTTACTACTTTACTTAGCAGCTACTGTTAAGACTTTTTTGAAAGCAAAGGATAATTAATTGCATTTGGTAAAACAGTTTCCACCCAACACCACATCCACAGAGAGTGCGTACGCTGTGACCAAAACCAAAGAACCAATTTTTATCACGTTTATACAAATTATGTATTAAAGGTAAGCAATAATGCATTAATAAGGCTTCCTGTGCATAAAATTTTCACAAGTGCAAAAGCTGAATTTAAAGTGAGCAATCCATGCATGTCATCCACATAACGACAGAAATTTCAGGAGCCTGTAGTGTTTCTTACAACATTTCATGACGCGTTCCCTAAGAGCGTCCACTTACATCAGAGTCAACCAGATATTTACCTATTCAAAAGCCTCTTTCTTGATATCCCTTGGTAGATTTGAATGTTCGTGGTTCTTACTGTTGTCTGATTGGTGGTATTCGTGAGAGTCTACTCGAGAAAGAAAGAGTACAGGCGGATGAAGCGTGAGATAAAATAAGTAGAATGGATTTTAGACCTGAAAACTTAGACATTCCTGGTTTAAGTAAGGTGAAGTGAGCACCCTGGCTGCAAGCAGTCTTCGGCTGAGTGTTTTATTTCTCAGTTCCGAGGGCAGAACCCCTTTCAGGGTCAGGAGTGCTCCCGTTTGGGTGAGAAATTACATGTGGTCGCTCTTGTTCCATAGCTCTGTCTATATGGACAAGCAGTAAATGAAGAACAAGAGTTGAAGTATGAGCAGTTCGTTGGAGGCTCAAAATTCTCCTTTCCCCGAAAGGTTTAAAATAATTCATTCTATTTCTGGAGCAGAGTCAGATCACAGTGAAAACGATGCTTTCTCCTCTAATGGTATCAATTTATGCTGGACGCGTTGTGAAATGCTTCACATTTTTGAATACTAATCTTCACTGTGGAAAATGAAAGTTGTATTTAAATTTGTATTTGACATCTTGACCCATAGTTCATTTTTTAAATGGCCGACTTTATATTTTCAAACAAACTAACCATTAAATTCAAAGCTGACAGTTTTAAACTTTTCCTATACTAGAAGACATTATTATTCAACTCTTGTCATTAATATAACTTGTGAAAGTTTTTAGCAATTTGTAATTTATTCTATTATTTTCAAATTTTCATTCATCAAGATAAATTCCCACAACCGTGTTCTCTAGAATATAGGTATTTACAAGTGTTAAGAGATTTGTAATACACATAATGCAGAAGTTAAAGAGTCACACTTTTAGTAGGAACTCTGGAGACCTGAAAAAAGCAGCCAATGTTTGGTCGGTGAGGAATTGGGGATCTGCAGTCTCATCCTGCCGCCTAGTGTTCTCAGATTATAAAACGGGGCTTCTTGGCAGGAGTAAAAGCTAAATCCTATTTCCTTTTCACTAACGAAACAAATCTAGAAAAGATATGATGTCCTCCCTGCCTCTCTCTCTCCCTCTCTCTCTCCCTCTCTCTCTCTCTCTCCCTCTCTCTCTCTCTCTCTCTCTCTCTCTCTCTCTCTCTCACACACACACACACACACACACACACATCAATGCTCTGAAATCTATGAATACGTCAGTGAAGATGGACCCCTAAACAGCTGATCAGGAGTGTAAATCGAACTTTCTACCACTCCTAACATGGTAAATGCCTCCCACATTTTGATAAGCAAGCTTAAGTTTGGTAAGTATTTGTTCAAAGCTATCTGGCCAAAATCTTAATCACTAATAGGTTATAAAATTGCTCCAGCCAAAATTTGGCTGACCTTTCATAAACGCCATACTTTGTGTATATTCTTATTTTCAAGATCTAGCTCTTCAACCTTTTGATCATCAGAAAGAAGTCTCTGAGTAGTCATCCACTGAGCACCAATCAGTTCACCATATTAAACATTCAGGTAGCAACCAGAATACAAAATTTGCCAATAGGACATTCTCTGCTCTTGAGAGTTTGCAGTGAACATTTTTATTGTTTGAAAGCTTTGAATTTTTTATACATATATACAATTTAAATTGGATCATATCCACCTCACTCCATTTGTCCAACTTGAGGCCCCCAACACATCTCGACCCTCATTACTTCCTGGCTCCCCCTTTCCTTCTCTCTCTTTTAATAACTCACTAGGTCTAGTTAGTGCTGCTCATGCATATACGTGTGTAAGGACATCCTCTAGGCTGTGGGAATTCATCAGTGTCCTCGTGCACACACGTGTGTAAGGACATCCTCTGGGCTGTGGGAATTCATCAGTGTCCTTGTGCATATGCGTGTGTAAGGACATCCTCTGGGCTGTGGGAATTCATCAGTGTCTTCACTGTAAAGACAGTGACTTTCTCTCTTCCGCAGCTGTCAGCTCTCAGCAATAACTCAGTTAGAGTAGAGGTTGGAGTCCTTTCCCTCCTCCATGCTGTCACGTGTGACTGGCTTGAGCCCGCACAGGTGACCACAGCTGTTGTGAGCAGAGGACAGCATTTCATGGGGCTTCTCCAGTATCTGACTTACTACATTTTTTTCCACTTCTCTTCATTGATGATGTGATTCACAAGCTTTTGGCCAACAGGCAGGTGAGATGTTGGGTGTATGGGGAGTGGATGAATTCCTGAGTTGATGTGTATTGTTGACATAGACATGACCAGGTCCAAGACCCCGATGCTTCAGACCCACTGGAAAGACAAAGCAGTTCCCAGGGCAGGCCTAGGGGAATGGCAAAGTTTTCCCCTGGTGTATGAGCATTTGAGACCAAAGTACACAAAAAGTCTGAGGGTATGTTGAAGAACTATTTCAATATCTAGTCATCATCTCTCTAGGGCTTTTTTCATATGGTCAATAACTGATCATCTTTCAAAGAGCATTATAGTGTTTCTATTTGTCTGGGAATCAAAATGGCTCAAAATGTGAGAAAATAGAGCATTATATTCATGTATACTGGAGATCAGAGTTGCCAGGTTTAATAAACATTCTTCCTGACCATGGACCTTTCTTGGATTTTTTTATTTATTTATGATAAGCATATGTAAAGAGTTTGACATAGTATACTATTCCCAGCTAATTTCTGTATCTTGTCTTTTTATATTTACTATAAAACTAAGGCTGTTAGTATATGTTAAGTAAAGAAGCAACTGGGAGCATTTAGGCTCTATTGATCACTTTAACAGAATGTTTTCAAAACTTGATCACTATGCTTCATGTTACTGACAATTTTGGTACATGTTATCATCAGACTATCCGACCTCTATTTTGCTGCAGGTTATTCAGGGAAAAATGTTGAGTTTCATTTAAAAAAAATCATTCATTTATTGAAACTGATACTGAACTTCGTTTTTATGTTTATTTTTTCACTATACAAAGTAATAATCAAATGTGAACTATTATTTGGTAAAAATCCTCCCTCCTCCCTTTACTTTCACTTTCTTGTCCATCTCCCCCTCTCCTCCCTATATATTATTTTGTATTATAAATTCCTGTGACCCCCCCTCTGCTCGGCCCTCTTTTTCCAATGTTCTGAGTAACGTTCTCTGAGAAACTAACGGCGTGGCTGGAGGAATTCAAGAGCTGGACCTGAGGGACTGAGAGAGCAGGGGAGTTTTACGTTGCACAAAGCATGTCAAAAGCATAATTATGGTCTCTGTGTTCGAATAAGATAAAGTAAGAACTGCTGACAGAGAAATCAAAGCCCTCTGAATAACTGACGAATCGTGCAACGCTTTCTTCTTTCTCCTGATGTGGGGCGAACCCAGTGTATTAAAATAGTTTGAACTGGAAGGACTTATATAATGTATAGTTATATAATTTTTATTTAAGAATGTTTAGCTTTATGCAATAATCGATGTAATCATTGATGGAAATACAAACATAAAAAGCTTACGTGAGCTTTTTAAAGTTTTTTTTTTTTTTAGTGTATGTGTAAATGTGTATCTGTGTGTGTGAGACACATCTGTGTGTGATGCCTGTGGAGACCAGAAGGGGCTGGAGGAGAATGCTTGGGGCTGTTAGTCATCTCTCCAACAGAAGTGCTGGGAAGTGAGCTCATGGCTTGTAGGAGAGTGGTACCTACTCCTAGCTACTCATTCATCTTTTCTGTCCTTCCATGGATCCTTGAGGCATTGTGTGCTATCTTCTTTGACAAATAAGAAATCATGATGTGTGTGTGTGCACTTTAATAACGGAAGGAGATTATCGAGTTCTAAAGAAGAGAGCGCGTGCAAAGTGAAGCAGGGACAATGATTTTTTTATTTGGTTTCACAGCTCTGTATCTCAGAAGTTCTTTAGTAAACACCAGTGGGTAACAGTCAGGTTTATTGTTCAGGCTATAGTGTTTTACTTCTTACACTGCTAAAATTGAAATCATGTGGGAAGGCTTAGACTATCAAGGGTACACATTGTTCATGATCATAACAAATGAAAGTATCTCTTCCGGTAGATGGTCGCGATGGAAAAGAGAAAACTGGTTCCTGTGCTGAGCAGTAGGAGACCTTGCAATTGAACAGGAAGTGGCTTGAAAGGGAGCGAGATGAAATTCACAGTAGCCGTTTGATAAGTTGCTGCTTTACAAAAGTGGAGTGGCTAAGGAAAGCCCATCCTTAATGGACACAGTGGCCTGGGAAATTAACTTTTATATATTCATCAAAATTATTGTAGTAGAAGAATAGACATCATAGTACAAATACCTTGTGGAAATATTTAGTATAATTAGAGTAACAATAGTGTGTTTATATCTCAACACTAGTCCATGGCTGCATACACTATTTTCACTGTAGGCTCCTTTCCTTTTTGGGTGTTAATTTTTCCTCCTTTTGTTACTCTTTTGATGAAACCTGTAATAAGAACAGTAAATGATAATAATAGTGAAAAGAGAGCACATATGAACTTATCTCAAATTTTCTCAAAGTCTTTCATTTGTCTCCGTATTTTTGTGAAATAATCTAATTCTAAGAAAGTCATTTTGCCTGTGAGAGTCACCAAAACTGGGTAAGTATGCTACAATTTGTTTGAAAATACATGCTTATTTTTATTAAAAGGTAGGTATGTGGTAAATATATGGTTATTAGACTAACATGTTATTTTATTTAATTTCTATGTTTTTTTATAAATTCTTTGTGTTCTTCATATTGTATCATTATATTCAAGGGAAAAGTAATAAAAATGTTAAAAGTTTGGTGTATTAAAAGAGAGCTTGCAAGAATTTTAACATATTTCTTAAAAAATAAGATCTTGGCTCTTAAATATTTACGGAAGAAAACCGGGCTGCGAAGTGGCTTCCACATTAATAGTGTGCCCTGTTCTTGCATGGGACTGGCTTCAATTCCCAATACTACTTTAGACACCCACACCTTTAGTTCTCAGAATCTGACGTTCTGTTTAGACTCTGCAAACACCTGCACACACAGTAGCATTCCCATATCCAGATGCGCGCGCACACACACACACACACACACACACACACACATATATATATATATATATAAATAAAAATCTTTTAAAAATAAAAACTTAAAAATTTCAATCTATTTGAAATTGATAATTGACCTGTAATACATATGGAGAATAATTATAGCTACCATACCTACTAGGATTATCTAAGTTTAGTTGGTAGGAGAGCAAATATTGGCTAAGAAATTATATTACTCCTTATAAGAAAATATTTGTTATTTTGTAAGGCAAAGCATTTCATAATTTCAGCATAATTATCATTCCAAATATTAGCCATTTAATGGGAAGAATGTCTTTCATACCTTTTTTACAGGCCCTCACACATTCTTTCTTGGTAAAAAAATTATTGTTATTTCCCCCGCATCCGGTGTACTTAAATTGGCGACATTTCCCAAGGACTGAATTATAGTAGAATCTCTTCTCACTGGCTTTACATGATCCACTGTCTGCTGGACTAAGACACCATGAAGGGCCGTGATATTCTAGAAATAAACAGATGGATAGAAGAATAGATAAATGAATGAATGGATAAATGAATAAACAATTGCAAGTTTAACTTTAAATTTAAATCTTAAAATTGAAATTTTAAGAATCAAGAAAATTTGGTAAGCTCTCTGCATCGTGAATCTGGGTCTTCTTATTAAGTATCCCTTGCAGATCAGTTTTACGGCATGTCTTCTGAATAAAGCAGGATCTGACAAAGATGAAGGCACAGCAAAGCCCAAGAGTTTCAATGACAGAAATATGCTTAAACAAATTGAGATGTCCATAATACCATGGTCTTTCTCCAATGAAAAAAACAGAGCGCATTTGAAAAAATGAAGGCTTACGGTTAGTGTTTATATGAACAAATTACTTATACACAATCAAAACAAGTTCTACTCAATGATTTACCTTCTGAAACCTTAGCTATATATTTACAAATGCATTTAAATTAGTATACATCAAATAACTTTTCCATATTTACATAGTAAAGTAAGTCACTGGTTTGGAGTAGATACTTATCATCTGTCAATAGGACCAGCAAAAATTCAAAAACCAAGAACAGGCAACTAGGGTAAAAATGACAATAAGAGTGATAATAATAACTCTAGTGTGAAAAATAATTGGAGCCTAGTAACATTTTTAAAAATTCTTTGGTGATTTCTTTCAAGCAGGGCAAGCTGGTACTTCTCAACTGTCCAACCATGTCTGGCGGTCGTAAAGTGAAGGCTGCAAGCGAGGTATTGGATGGCGATGGGCTGTGGAGGAGAACTTGAGTGGCTTCAGCAGATGGTGGGTGTCATACAGCACATACAGGGGAAGACTTGATCAATGTTTGTGGGCAGAAGATGCAGCTGTGAAGAGTCCAGGGGCCGACAGAGGCAAGCGGGTTGTGCAGAAAGCAAGCAGCAATCTTTTGGCACACAAACCCTGGATGGAAAGTTCAGGGAAGAAGACAGCTGAAATGACGCAACCCATCAGAAACAGCTTCATTCGAGAAACACATTTTTATCATCTCCTGCCTTCTAGACATGAGTGGAAATCAGAATGTCTGGACATCACTGGCATACCGAGTAAGAACCTGGGAAATCAGAGAGGCACTGGGGATGATGGAATAATATATAAGGAAGAATTTACAAAGGTAACGTGCAAAATGTAAGATCTCACATAAAGAATATTTAGTATCATTTAGGTCTTTGGCTAAACATATAAACGCTGCTTTTGAAAAAACTCTTAGCATCTTTAAAGTAGCGTTCATAGTGTCTAGACTATTATCTTATCTGTTATACCTGCATCTTTGAACATGAGCATGCCCCATGATGAACCTGAGCTAAGATCATGTGCCAGGAATGGGCTGTAAAGGTTCCATCGCATGCTAGCTCTTTCTGTTTAAGACGGTAATTTTAAAGGTGGGAGAGACATATTGCAAGGGGGGGTCCTCCTATTGTCTAGTAACTCCAGTGGGTCTCCTGTGTTGTTTCATTACTCCCATGTTTAGATGTGAATAGTCAGCAACCTCACCTCCTCTGTCTCCTTAACTTCCAAAGCCACCAACCAGGCTCAGAAACAGTGGCAGACTGGAAGCAATTGAATGAAACTGAGAAACGGGAATTTGCTACTTGTTTTATGGTTTCTCCCAGGAGGCACCACGTATTTTTATAACAAATTATATAGAGAGGATATGTAAAGCATAAATTACTTTCACTTTTATGTGTTCTCTACAAGATACGTCAGTCCACAGTAAGTTGCAATAATGCCTGTTAATGTACCCATATTTATAACTGCACATTTCTTTACAAATGTTAATGACTGTGTTTTAATAGCAATGCCCACTCTAAGGCCCCTTATGTCAGGACAGAGAGAAATTTTCATTCTCTGAGAGTAACTCCTTTTCCACTTATGGCCTGATAAAAGTTTAGCTTCATAATCAAAATCAAACATATTTCAAGGTGAAGAAAAGCTAATTTGACTATTGCCCCTAGACTGGAGGTAAGAAGGAAGAATGTTACCATAAGCCAAAAGCCCTGCATCCTAGGTGAAAACTAGAACCAGAACAGGCATTTCTAGAGGAACACAAATCATAGTATACATAACACAGGTATAATGGTATAATGGGCACATGGGCTCTAGCCTCTCTCTGCCTTTGAACATCTAATAATGCAGAAATATTTACTAATGGCCAATGAACTCAGAAACCAGTGGAAACAGGTTTAATGCAGCAGAAGGCGGGGGTCGTACGAAAGCAGGCAGTTAGGAGTGCGGGTGCATCAGAAAAAGCATCATTGCCGCTTTAACCATGCAAGACTTCACATTCCTGCTGCCTGTGCACAGTGACGTCTGCATCAGTGTCTAGCACAGCTCTGGGAGCGGAGGTCAGCGTGCAGATGCACACACCACACGCCTCTGCTATCACACACTCGCTCCCCTCGAAGGCATCTGCCCAGGAACGAACAGTGGCCGCTATTTACTTATCTCACTTGATTAGGCCTGATACCAGACCCTGTCTAGACAGATCCAATACAATCGACCTTTGACCACAGCAGCAAGCATGTTCCTGATCCTAAAAGAATGCTATTTTCAGACAGGAGTTCAATTTGAAATTCATCTCAGAGTACTTTGTACTATGCATAGTGAAGTATTAAAAAAATCAAAACACGGCCGGGCGGTGGTGGCGCACGCCTTTAATCCCAGCACTCGGGAGGCAGAGGCAGGCAGATCTCTGTGAGTTCGAGACCAGCCTGGTCTACAAGAGCTAGTTCCAGGACAGGCTCCAAAACCACAGAGAAACCCTGTCTCGAAAAAACCAAAAAAAAAAAAAAAAATCAAAACACTTTTCATTTTGGAAGGTTTTTTTTTTACAAGAACATAAGTTTTCCCAGAACATAAGTTGCAGGCAATAATGAAGTTAACTCATTATTTTTAAGATTATGTTAATACTGACTACCATTTGCTTTATCATAAATCACAGGTAAAATAAAGCAGACAGTTTCTGCAGAATGTTTGGAGTCCTTGACTGGCATCTCCATTTCCAGAAGTGAGAAAATGGAATAGTTTTGTACCTCATGAAAAATAAGTTTGCCTATGCTCAATTAACAAACATATTCTAGACAATAGGTAGGCACTCACCTATTTCAATTCCAGACACTGAGATCTACAATAAAAGAAGATACATTTTGAAGTAGTTGCACAATGTGATTTCTTTTGTCTAGATTATGATTGGAGAAAAAAAAATTACGATAGGATAAAAAGACACTAACCAGGCTGGTTTCCGCTCGTGTTCCAAAGGGACATCAGTAGCAAGATGCGTCCGTTCTGTCTTGATCCCGCCATCAATAGCAAGTCGAGTGGATTTCATCTCAAGGACTTTCTGAAAGGTTTCACAACATACCCATCTCCCTTGTCTCTCTTATTATTACCAGTGGGGCTGCCAAAGTACAAGGTGACGGCACAGGGTTCGTTTCCCAAGGAAAATGTTTTACGTAAATTTACTTTGAAATTCATAGAGCGAATTTTTAACTTAATGCATGGAAATGTTATTGAAATGTCTCATTCCCACAATACTTTCCTGTGTAGGTTCTCATTGTATTAAGCAAACTAGTATTTATGAACTACTTCATGGCCTATGAACTTGCTTTCTTCTGAGGTTTTGGGGTTGGGGGTTTGAATAATAAGTCATTCCTTTTTTTCCCTATAAGTCGTAGTAAAGAGAAACAATTTCATTACAATGTTTGTTAAAATTTAAATAATACCAAAACATAAAAGATATGAAACAAAGCATCTGCATAATGCCCTCCCCCAATTAAATTACTACCAATGATTTGGTAAATGTTTTTTTCCAAAACCATTTGTATATACATATATTCATATTCTACTCATCAAATTATTACTATTCTGAGTAACATGTGAATTCATATTTATATTTTATACCATTATATATCCTTTTAAATATATGCATAATAGTTCATCTATTTTACTAAACATCACTTGCATAGAATCTACTATGACTTTCACATGCACTATTTTATGTACTACTAATATGGAAAACCTGACTCTATTATTGTTTACTACTGGTGATAGGATTCTTCATAATTACAATCATGTTAAGATGTTGAAAAATGCGTAACTTAAATTGAGTAAAATATGCTAATTTGTATTACACGCCAAGATTCCAAATTCATGCACACATACATATATAAGTAAAAATAAAAATTACATATATTATTTGTCAGGCAAAGTACTAAGTTATGTACTAAACACATAAAGGTATGTGATAAGTGATTACATAAATAGCTTTCTGGGGATGTAAGCTCGGAAGTTTGCTAAGCTAAAGTTCTACAGAGAAAAGTTTGTGTTATGGTTATTATATATTTCTGGACTCCTCCAGCAGATACTTACAATCATTTAGTCATTTGCTCCGTGATGATTTTTTTTACAAGTTGAATAATATTTATTGACAAGTTGACGTGGATGTCTTTTCCTGTATGATGTGACTATGGCCAACTTTTTCTGTTGCTCTGCTTTCAGTGTTTAATATTCCTAAATTGTAATGCTCAAGCTACACAATAAAAATAGTTGACTAGAGTTCATTCACTTCCCTCAGCAGGGAAATAAAACGCTGCAGACTGGAACCTGCTCTGGCTGGTGATGGGCAGAACGGCCACCATCTCCTCTGCCTTGGAGAAAGCACACAGCCCTTCACCACACGGGCAGTCACTGACCCAGCAGAAACTGATACTTCCTTCAGCATTGGAAAACAGGCAAGGGCTGCCGAGCAATTCCCTTGAGGGTTGTTTTTCTTTCCCTGTGTGCACAGGCCACTTAGTAGAGAGTGAAATGTAGAGGTTGTGCAGCCAGGAAACTTGAGACTGAAAGGTCATAGGAACAGACTGTAAGAAATCTTTCCTGGACAGGAAAGCCTATGCAGATTAAAAAAGAGAGAAACTAAGTAGGTATTTGTTTGCTTTCATCCAGAGGTTGGCTAATCCATACTCAGAGTTGATTAAGGTATCTATACTCAAGAACTTTTCTTAGCAATCCAGAAAGCAAAAAGGCTTTATACGATAACAATTATGAAATTTTCAGGAACATATTTTTTTCAATTAGGTATTTTATTAAGAAATGTATGTTTGGAAAAAATTACTTACAATTAGTACCACCATATGAGGGTTAGTATTTTCATCTTAAAATATTTTGCAGAGGGGGCTGGAGAGATGGCTCAGTGGTTAAGAGCACTGCCTGCTCTTCCAAAGGTCCTGAGTTCAATTCCCAGCAACCACATGGTGGCTCACAACCATCTGTAATGAGGTCTGGTGTCCTCTTCTGGCCTGCAGACATACACACAGACAGAATATTGTATATATAATAAATAAATAAATATTTAAAAAAAAAATATTTTGCAGAGATGGCTCAGCAGTTGAGAGTACCTGCAGCTCTTACAGAGGACCCACTGGGCCATTTATCTGCGCTTCCAATCCAGGAACTGATACTGGCTGCCTCAGGCAATGCACACATGATACAAAGACATGCATGCATGCATCCAAAACTCCCATACACACACAATAAGAATAAATTTTAGGAAAAGATATAGATCATGATTGCTGACCCAAAACGTGTGTCATAGACCTTTGTCTGTGAGGCTGATGGTTTATTATCCTCTGTTGTTTTTTTTTTTTAATACGCTGGTTAGCTTTAATAGAAGAATGGGATTTTAACAATCAGAGAAACAGTAGAATATGGGTGAGAGCACACAAACGAGAATATTTCTAGTCTATCTGGAAGAGTCTGGAATAACTAAAGAACAGAACACAACAGGATGGTAGAGAGTAAAACTGGAAAAGCAGATTTAGGGTATGCACAGAGAACTACAGGCAACTGAAGAAGTCTGGAAGGGAGAAAGGCAGTCTTCCCCAGGGAGGTCTTGGCAGCAAGCATGCTTACCCTGTGAAACATGTCACCGTATCCATGTTTTAAATTTCAGCCTCTCCTGCCATACCCCGTAAGATCTTATCACTGAAGCCTTTCCCTACCTGCCAGTTACATCTCCAAAGAACAAAAGCACCATCATGTTTTCATTCTTCCGTTTCCAGGTTCTATTACAATTCCCATCAGCCAGGCAGTCGAATTTATAAATTTCACTTAAACTAGAAAACACGCAAATCTGTACCTTGGGTCATAAAGGTGGACAGACAGATATTTAATACCTCCAGTGATCGCAAATCAAATCCAGAGACACAAAACATGAAATTTTATTTAGTTAAGTATGCTTTGATTTTATAAGTACTGTGTATTAATTCGGATAACTATAATGAGTTAAGATTCTTCAGTTCAAGGTTACAAACTTAGTTGCACTAAAACTATAATAAAAGATTCGCTAGCCAGTATCTTTGAGCTCCTTCTTATATATCTTAGGTGAATATGGGTCAGTGTTGTCATCACCAAGATAGTCTTAAAAATCAATATTCTTGTTAATGATAACACAGGATGAAGAGTTTTACAAATACTGCAGGATTTTAAATACTTTATGACTTACTGCATTCCACACGTAGCTGAGAAAGAGCTGGAGGCTTGGAGAAGCTGCCTGCTTTTTTTTTCCAAGGATACAAAACAAGTCGGGAAATTACAGAACTAAAATTAAGCTCAAATTCCACTCATAAAGTACGTGTCCTTGCCCACCCTGAGACAGCACTCCAAAGCTAAGTAGAAAATACTTCTAGACTTACTGAGCAAATATTTCAGCAATGTGATCAGATAAAGTTGGTGAAGCTTCATTATTTCTAACCCCCAAATCCCTTCTTCCCATCAACTGCCAATCAAAGAGACCCAAATGTGTTGGTGCACCATCACGTGTGTGAACTGGTGTTCAGCAAGTCTGAACAGGGAAAGGTGCCGAGCTGAAACAGAAAACCCTAATAAGGCGGCTGGAAACTGGCCCTGGGCAGCAGTTCGGAGCCAAACAGCTCTCCAGCACCTGAAGGCGGCAGGAATCATTAGGTTGGCATATTCCACCTGGCCTCTTTCTGGAAATCACAGACCACAGCCAGGCCTTTATGTCTCCGTGATCAGATGCATACCAGTGGCTGAAAACTGGGAGCATGGCCCTGTGGTGTTGCGAAAGGTAGACTTGTGGCTCTTTAATGATGCTTCTCGCTTCATCTCTGCAGAGATGATCCAATCTTGACAGAGAAAGGCCACACTCGGAGAATTAAGACGGAGTAGCACAGATTTTTCTAAACTAATTCTTAATCCTCGTCTATCTGTTGGCTGTCAATACAAAATTTGTATTCCAATATAGATTTTCCTACTGTTTTAAGAACAAGAAATCTTGACAAATTAGTAGCACTGGTTAGTAGTCTGGTCGGCATTAATATGCAACTACATTTTGGGTGTAACCTTACGATTGTCACAAACTTAAATTTCTATGATTTGTTTAGTACAAATGTCATTTAAACTAATTTGGTTGACCCAGTGAAGCTGTCCGTTTCGTTTCTAGTAAGAGTCTCTGTTGACGTTTGAGAAACACCACTCTGGAGGGCTGTGCTGTCTGGGACAGCCGTGGTCTTTGATTAGGCTCAGAACTGTCTGTGAAGAGATCTGCCAGGTAGGCAGGATGACAGCTGCGACTCTGGCAGAGGAAGCGCCACATTCTTGCTCCGTGCCAGCGCTCCTGTCAGGAAGTAGAAGGCCCGGTGTGAGCTCTGCTAACGCTGTCTATTTCTGGAAAACCAGCTCGCCGGGGTGTCCGCACAAGCCACCAGATTTACTATGCAGGAATACATAGGATGAGATATACTCTAGGCTTCTCGGTGAGCGTACATTTGAAGGCCACCACACTTGCTTCAAACTGTGTGTGCTTGTTGATGAAATAAAGCTTACAGCACTGTCCACAGAGCTCATGATGTATGCATTCATGGGGTATGCATTTAAATGTGTAATTCTCTAGTTGGTAGGGGGACGTTTTTCCAGAAATTTTACATGACTGCAATATTCCTCTGCGTGTGATCAGTATCTTCTAAGAGAACATAGAAGTGAAAATATTCTATTGCGGATCTCTAACATAAACACGTCAGCGGTGACACTTTGATTATCGAATAGCTTCTCTGTCAACATTATTCCTCTTCCAGAAGGCCAATGACAATGATATATATATACATATGTATGTGCATGTATAAATATAATTATATATGTATTTATTTCTTTTCCACCATTTTCTACGTATGTGGAGCTTGACTCCAGGTCATATGCTAGAGTCAGGAGAGAGTTTCAAGTGGCCACAGGGTCTTCTTTCTTACATCTAGTCATTCTCCCTTGACCTGGAGGCTGGCATGAAGCAGTATAGCCCTGGATCAGTACTTGGGTGCTTGTTTTCTCATTCAGAGATTAAGTGCTGGAGATTGATTAGCAGTAGGCTTTTGAAGTCTACCCAAAGATGAGTTTTTTCAAAATATCATAAAGGTGATGGAGTCCCAAGGCCACTGTTAAGAGATGATGTACAGAGGCAAAGTGGGCTGTGAGAATTTGGAAAATAATTTTTTTCCAGGAACAGCCAAGTCTACCCCCAAAGACCCAGAACCAATATGATTAGTCTTTCCTAGTTAGAAGTTTAAAGCTAGACATAGTAAAAAGACTATGTTGTGAATGCTAATATCAAAACTTTATTAATTACGAGTATAAAAACATCAAGTATACTATCTACATATTAAGCAAATCCAAAGGTGATGCATAATAGGATATACATAAAATGCTATCTAACCCTAAAACTAAGAAATGTGAGTACATGAAGGCAGAAGATGTTCAGAAAGACTTGGTAAGTACAATCAGCGTTCTTCCAACCACCATTGGTTCCTTCTTTTGTAACTGTGGATCACAAGATTAATAAATAAAACATGTAAGTCGCCTATCATATGCTTACCATTGAGGCAAATGCTGGAACAGAGGCAGGCAATAAATGACCGTACTCAAAACCTTGTGGCACAGTAACTTGAGCAGAGAGTGCACCTCAAGTGATAGATACACTGAATGGATCAGACTGGGTAGCCAGAGTCAAAGCAGAGGAGGGAGGCTTCTCTCCAGGAGTGAGTCCATAGACAAGAAGATGAGCAGGCCAATGAATATTGGTTGGGGAAAAATGCATAGACTATTCCGTGGAATGAACATAGATAACTTGTGATTGAGAATAATTGCAATGGGCAGAAAGTCTTGTATTTAAAAGCCAGTTTGTTAAAAATATAGGATAGGCAAAAAGCTAACAGAAAACGCTGACAAATTCAAATGAAGTAATGAGGCCAAATTAAAACAAGCAAAGAATGCATCATATACACATTTTTACATGTTAATACACAGAAGCCCAACTTCAAAGCACATTTTAAAAGAGTTTAAGGAAATGATTACCTTTACGAGATTAAGTGCCTTAAATTCACCAAATATCTATATTTTAACATACTCTCAAATAATAAAATCATTATTTTTTAAAAGATAATGCTAACACGCATCCACTTCTATTGTTACCATAATATATTCATAAAATAATAATAAAAGCAGGGCAGTGGTGGCACACACCTTTAATCCCAGCACTCAGAAGGCAGAGGGAGGTGAATCTCAGTGAGTTCAAGGCCAGCCTGGTCTACAAAGTGAATTCCAGGAGTCAGGACTGTTAGACAGAGAAACCCTGTCTCGAAAAACCAAAAATAATAACAATAGTAATGATAATAATAATAAAGATTCTTACCCCAACCATTGGGCGATTTGGTAGATTGGGTAATCAAAGTGTTATTTACAGTATTTCGCTCGGGTACATGGTTGCCCATCGGTAACTCATTCACTGGGAAAAAAACAACACAGAAATTACAATCTGAAAACAATTTTGTATCTTTATGTACAAGCAAATGCAACTGTTGGCTTAAGAACAGCAGACTTCTATTGCTTAGGGTCTTAGCTGGGATCATCCTTATGGATTTCTGGGAACTTCTCTAGTACCAGAAAGTGTCCAAAATGGCTTTGCCCTGTAGTCAGATTGCTAAATATCTTAAATGTCATCATAGAACTTTCATCCAGCAACTGATGGAAACAGAGGCAGAGACCCGCAGCGGAGCACTGGGCTGAGCTCCCAAAGTCTAGTTGAAGAGTGGGAGGCGTAAGAATATGAGCAAAGAGGTCAAGACCATGATGGGGACATCCACTGAAACAGTTTACCTGAGTTAGTGGGAGCTCACCAACTCCAGCCGGACAGAGAAGGAACCAGAATATGATCAAACTAGTCCCTCTGAATGTGGGTGACCGTTGTATGGCTGGAGCAGACTGTGGGGCCACTGGCAGTGGCACCAGGATTTATCCCTACTGCTTGTACTGGCTTTTTGGGAACCCGTTCCCTAGATGGATACCTTGCTCAGCCTGGATATAGGATACCTTGCTCAGCCTGGATATAGTACGTAGGGCCTTGGACCTTCCCCAAAGCAATGTGCCTTATTCTCTCTGAAGAGTGGATGAGGGGTGAGGAGTGGCAAGGGGAGGGAGTGGGAACTGGGGTTGGTATGTAAAATGATAAAAGATGGTTTGTTTTCTTTTAAAAAAAATAAAATAAAAAGAACAGCAGACTTGTTGCAATTTGGTCCCCCTGCGATTCCAAATTAGCAAACGAGGAATTTTAAACACAAATGCACTAGTAAATTTGTAACAAGAGACCAAAATCCTGCAACAGTCCATGTACAAGGTTTCCCTTTATCATTGTATGAGTAATTATTAACCTCATATTTCATAAGAATAAGAGATCTCAGTAGTCTTGCCATTGTGCTGCCTGCAGTCCTCTGAGGAAAAACATTGAGCCACCATATCTGAGAACGTTATGGGGTTTAGGGGAACTGTAGAGATGCCTTAATTATCTGTATTTATGTTTTAACACAGTTGGGAATCTCTTTCAGAGCTAGTTTCTGTTCGCGCAGCTTAGCCAGAATCCAGGTACATGCTCACGGAGTCCTCATCTCAGATGACCCCTGTAGACGGCCCCAACCGAGACGAGAAGCGAGCTCACCTGTGTCCTCACAGGTGCTCCGGCATGCGTCCAAGGTCTCAAAGTTGTTCTGGTTGCCCAGGCACCCACCGTACTTGAACCGTTCGCACTGCTTTGATTGGTTGTTGTAAAAATACCTAGTAATGAGGCCTCGGCAGATTCCAGGATCCTCTTCCAAGAAGCAGAAATCTGGCTTCCCTAGAATCGACAAAATACGTCAGGAAGAAGTATCTTTCTTTTGTTATTATCATTTAGCTATTTTAGTGAAATTTATAATCAACATATTTAGAAGATAAATTTAGAACCAATTTTAAAAGGTTAAAGGTTAAACCAGAAGGTAATGGTTATCTCATTAAAAATAATAAAATGACTTAATTTAAAACTGAATCATTATCTAACCCTTTGGGTACTTGGAATAAGGAAGATTAAACTATTTTTTTTATATTTTTTATCTGGTATTTCAGTTCTAAATTTCTTTTATCAGATTACAAAGAATTATTATCAACATTTTCATGAACCAATAAAATAAAGGATGGTGGGTTGATACATGCTGACCTTGCTTTAGAAGTACAAAATATTATGGTAAGTTTTGCTTTAATAATTTCTATTAAGTTTAATGCACTGATATTAAAGAAAAGTCGATTGAAGTGTTGGGAATCTCTGTGGATGGAGTACTGTGTTAGTTCTTTAAGACTGCTATAGAGGCTTTAAACATTAGAAAGGATATTAGGGCTACAGAAGTTGACCTGGCTATTCTTGGAAGTTCCTGAATTCTTATGCTGGAATTAATATCTGTGCTCAGTATGTCACCCTCCACTGTTGGGTCTCTCCCTCCCTCCTCACTCTCTCTTTTCTTCTTCTTCCAAGCATTGGGCTGGACCAACAATGTAGAGGCAGAAAGGAAATACATGTTCAGGGATTAGAAGGACTTTTGCAAAGTCTAACAGCCTTCCTTTGATCATGCTCCAAAACAGGCTAGACACAGCTGTCACAAAAGCTGCAATATTGTGACCTACATTACAATCTCTGTCTACATGCATACTGTGAAGAGAATCGAGTTCGTTTTCCAATGTATTATGCTCAAAAGTCTTACTGCACTTGAATATTTTGGACAAGGTTCCAGTTCCTCCAATTTCTCCTATAAATATATTTCTGTGGTAATAAAATGAACTATGATACCCTTCCATGTCTTTTTTTATATCAGGAAGTCGGTGCTCACAAGTGCTCTACTATCTAAAGAGTGTGTATTCCGTGTACTTCAGGCACAGAGCCCAGAGTCCCCTAAGCTGGAAGTGGCCTGAAAGTCTCCTCCCTGAGGGCTAGTTCAAGCTTCAAGGGAGGGAGGTGATCAACAATCCTACCCAGCTATAATACCTATAAACAAAAATGACCGGAGTGACACAGTGACCCTAAGAGGGCAATAGAGAAACACATATCTTGACAGTGACCAACAGCTCTATAACTTTAAGATACTCCAGAGCCCCCTAAACAAAGAGAAACCATGCCTGATTCCAGAGACCTAGCCAGCTACCCAGGGATAATGAAGTCATGGGTCTAGAGAACCTATAACCACCACCACTGTACTAAGTCAGCATAATCCCCAACTACATTCTCACTATTCCCAGATAAGTGTCATCCTCACCCTGGGTCAAGGAAACGTCTCTTTGCAGCAGGAGAACATCACAGAAAACCACACCTAATCTAAATATGTGTTTATGAAGATCAATCTCTACTGACACACCTACAACACAATTCCTACACCTAAGGCTAAGGGATCACTGTGGAAGGGTGGACAGAATGAATGTAAGACCCAAGGAAAGAGAGAGTTTGCTACAAGATTGTGTCTCCTAGGAAAGCCATACTGATAAACTCTCACCAACATGAGCTAAACAGTCGTGCTAAATATGATCTGGGGGAGGGCCATGAGTGCTCATCCCTACACAAAGAACTATAGAAAACTGAAAGTGTGAGAAACAGACTCCAGGAAAGAGCACACTGAATAGTTATCCAGTGCCAAACGGCAGGCCCTGGAAACATATGCATGTATACATATGTATATATGTACATACATATGTGTGTTACATTATACAAATTGATCAGATTGTACTTATGCATTTATGAATATATATTATGTATTTGGAACCATATATTATATGTTTAGGAACACACACATATATATGTATGTGTATATATATATATATATATGTGTGTGTGTGTGTGTGTGTGTGTGTGATTGCTAGAGTTTGCTATGAGATTGTGCCTCATAGGAAAGACAGAAGGCTATACGCAAAGTCTCACCAACATGACTGATATATGTATATATCAGCACTTAATGAAAGCAACAGCCATGAATTTGAGGCAGACCAAGGAAGGCTACATGGGAAGGTTTGGAAGGAGGTAAAGGTGTGGTTATATTATAATCTCAATAAATAGAAGAAATAAAACAAGAGCATGCACTCATTAATGTTAGCGAGAGCCACAGCAGTGGAGAGCTGGAGAAGAATCCCCAATTTAAAAGTTCTTATTAAAATATCTGTTTTCTATAACTTCTCAACTTGTAAATTGGAAGTTAACTTGGTTTCTTGTTGTCTCTTAAAGTAAATGTCGGTGAAATTCTTATGTTGTATGAAACCAACCATACTGAACCTCATAGAAGAGAAAGTGGGAAGTACACTTGAACACATTGGCACAGGAGACCACTTCCTAAATATAACCCCAGCAGCGCAGACACTAAGAGAAACAATTAATAAATGGGACTTCCTGAAACTGAGAAGTTTCTGTAAAGCAAAGGACATAGTCAACAAGACAAAACGACAGCCTATAGATTGGGAAAAGATCTTCACTAATCCCACATCAGACAGAGGTCTGATCTCCAAAATAGACAAAGAACTCAAGAAACTTGACAACAAAAGAACAAATAATCCAATAAAAGGGGTCGGATCTCAAATGGCTGAAAGACACTTAAGGAAATGGTCAACATCTTCAGCTATCAAATGCAAATCAAAACAACTCTGAGATTCCATCTTACACATGTAAGAATGGCCAAGATCAAAAGCAATGATGACAGTTTATGCTGAAGAGGATGTGGGGTAAATGGAACACTCCCTACATTGCTGGTGGGAGTGCAAACTTATGCAGCCACTTTGGATATCAGTATGCAATTCCTCAGAAAATTAGGAAACAATCTACCTCAAAATCCAGAAATACCACTTTTGGGTATATACCCAAAGGATGCCCAATCATACCACAAGGATATGTGCTCAACTATGTTCATAGCAGCATTATTTGTCATAGCCAGAACCTGGAAACAACTAGATGTCCCTCAACCAAACAATGGATAAAAAATGTGGTACATTTATACAACAGAGTACTACTCAGCAGTAAAAAAAATAATAATAACATCTTGAAATTTCCAGGCAAATGATTGGATCTAGAAAAAAACATATTGAGTGAGGTAGTCCAGATCCAGAAAGACAAATATCATATACTCACTCATAAGTGGCTTTTAGATATAAAGCAAAGAAAACCAGTGTAAACAGAGACTGATCATTCATTTCCTGGCCACCCAGACCCAAATAATCATGCAGAAACTATATTAATACAACACTGGCTGACAGCTTAGGCGTGTTCCTACCTAGTTCTTATATCTTAAATTAACCCATTTCTGTTGTTTTACATTTTACTACAAGACTCGTGGTCTGTTACCTCTTGCTTTTTGGGCAACTACATGGCATCTGCCTCCTTTGGCAGCTACATGGCATCTCCTTAACTTTGCCTTCTCTCTCTCTCTCTCTCTCTATATATATATATATATATAGAGAGAGAGAGAGAGAGAGATATCTATTAGGATTTCCCACCTGACTTTACTCTGCTAAGCCATTGGCCAAACAGCTTTATTCATTATCCAACAAAAACAACACATATAGAGCACATCCCATATCAAACCAACCTACAGTCCTCAACCCCAGAGAACCTAGACAACAAAGAGGACACTAAGAGAGACATACATGGATGTACTTAGGAAGGAGAAAAAAGGCAAGATCTTCTGAGTAAATTGGGAGTGTGGGGGTTACAGGAGAGGGCAGAAGGGGAGAGGGGAGAAAGGGAGGGGAGCAAAGAAAAATGTATAGCTCAATAAAAACAGTAAAAAAAGAAATTTTTATGTTGTTTTCTTTTTCAAATTTAAGTGGATTTTTTGTGTACAAAATTATAGCTTCACGCATATATATTATGGAGTGATTAAATCTGGATAATTAATGGCTCACTCCACATGGCCGTAACATGTTTAGACTGAGAACACAAGGAACATGCACTCTCTCAGCTGTCACGAGAGTTAAACAGATGACTGTTAACTGTAGTCCATGCTATACGGTAGATCATTTAGATGTTCCCTCCCATGCAGTGACTCTGTGTGGTCATCTCTCCCCCTCACAGTCTTGGCAATAACAATGCCACGTCTACTCTTAGATCACCCTTCCAAGGCTCCATGCTGTGTATTGCCTTCGGCATGATGCTCACCAAGTCCACCCATATTGTTGCAAGTTACAAGATTTCCTTCTTTAATTCCACACCGTGTGGAATATGACACTCCCTTTATCTGCAGACTGAACCTTCAGTTCATTCCATATAATTCTCGCAGAATATGACTTCAGTGAATGGGAGGTGCAACCTATGAGTGCCTTCTCCTCGATACAAACTGAGTGGTGGGGCTGATCGCTAGATGAAACAGTATCTCTATTCCTAACTTAAAATTGTGATGAGGAGTATCCATGCTGTTTTCTCTGGTTGCTGTTTGGATTTAACAGCAATGAAATGACAGCCCATTTGAGTCTGGATTTGTTTCTTCGATGATTAGTGTTGTGTAATCATTTCCTATCATATTCCTGTCCTCACTGTGATATGTAATTGTGTCATGTACACAAAACAGGAAAAACGGCTTTGGTAAATTTTAATGTTTTAAAGGGAAAAACACATATATTCAATTTTCATTTTGATTAATTTTAGGATATAACTTTTTGTGAAATTTTAAGTAATCTTAAGTATACAAATTTTATGCATAAAATGAATTAATGAATGAGATATGTCGCATATTAAAAGCAAAAATTATAATATAATTTAATCTAATGATCATTATTAATAAATTCTATATGGAAGCTTTTTTTGTGAGACCCCCATCAAACTACATGAATTTATTTTAGGCGAAAGTTGAGAACGTACACATGTAAAATAATCCCTAGGTCTACAAATTAAAAATAAAACAGGATTATAAATAAAATAATTCTCCATATTCCTGGAACTGCACTCTGTGGTAAAAGGTCCTCAGTTATGGCTGAGTAAGAATATTGACGTAAGCCATGCAGCATCTTTCCTAAGCCGCAGAAATATAATGCCAAGGTCTCTGCACGCCCATACACCATAGATTGCTTACAACTAAGCTTCGCTCCTGAGGGACTGGCCTGAATCTTCATTACCTTTTGATTTTCTTTTGATATCTTCTAATAGTGTCATTATCATTAAACCTGGGAATTGATTTGTCCTGCTTCAGTGCTAGGAAGCATATCAACTTCAGTTTGATGGGACTTTTGCTAGAGAGTAACTGTAGCAATAAAACAGTTCTAACATTCCTATGTTCACAGCGCTAATTTTTTTTCATATTTAATACTTAAAGTGACTGTTTCTTGAATTCCAAAATCTATTTTTGCATTCTGCTCATACAGTAAACATTTCCTGGCATTTAATTTTTCTCTAATTCTAGGTTTTAAAAGAAATCTTAGTATTTCAACATTGCTACTTCTGCTCACCAAAAAAAAAAAAAAAATCGATACAGGGAACCATTATGGGGTTAGGGAGAAACTTGGTGCTAGGGAAATTCCTGGGAATCCGCACAAATGACCCCAGCTAAAACTCCTAGCAATAGTAGAGAGGGTGCCTGGACTGGCCTTCCCCTGTAATCAGATTATTGACAGCCCTAATTGTCATCATAGAACCTACATCCAGTAACTGATGGAAGCAGATGCAGAGGCTGAGCTTCTGGAGTCCAGTTGAAGGGAGGGAGGAAGGATCATATGAACAACGGGGTCAAGATCATGGTGGGGAAAACCACAGAGACAGCTGACCTGAGCTAGTGGGAGCTCACAAACTCTAGACTGACAGCCGGGGAACCTGCATGGGACTGAACTAGGCCCTCTGAATGTGGGGGACAGTTGTGTGGCTTAATCTTGTAGGGGGCAGGGCTGGCAGTGGAGCTAGCACTTTTCCCAGGTATATGAACTGGCTTTTTGGAGCCCATTCCCTATGGTGGGATACTTTGCTCAGCCTTGATATAGGGGGTAGAGGCTTGGTGCTACCTCGAATTGGTATACCAGACTTTGTTGACTCCCCAAGGGAGGCCTTACCCAGTTTGAGGAGTGGATTGGGCGGGTGGTGGGGGATGAGAGGAGGGTGTGGGAAAAGAGGAGGGAAGGGAAACTGGGGTTGGTATGTAAAATATAAAAAAATTAAAAAATTAAATCTTCTTTCACTTGTAGACAAACTCATTTTATAAATATACTGTTTTCTTAAGTGCTAACAATAACTACGATCTTACTTAACTTGACTACTGGACATTGTTACCAATATCAATTCAATATTTGAAGGGATATGTTTTTAAATTATAAATAATCACTTTTATTTGTTATACAAATTGTGATTGAGTTTATTTCATTTGTTTGCTTGTTTGTTTTGTTCTTTCAAGGCAGACAGATCTCTGTGAGTTCGAGGCCAGCTTGGTCTACAGAGTGAGTTCCAGGACAGGCTCCAAAGCTACACAGAGAAACCCTGTCTCAAAAAAAAAAAAAAAAAAAAAAAATCCCCAGTGGACTGGAGAACTAAAATGAGACAATCAAGAGCTAACTCACTGTCTGCATGTTGTTAAAACAGCCTGTGTGGCTCTAGACCAGTGGTTCTCAATCTCCCTGCTGCGACCCTTTAATACCTCTCGGCCAGTTGTGGTGACCCCCAACCGTAAAATTATCTTGTTGTTACGTCATAACTGCAATTTTGCTATTGTTACAAATTGTAATGCAGACATCTGATGCGCAGGATATCTGATATACCACCCCTGTGCAAGGGTTGTTCGACCTCCCACAGGGGAGTCCCCACCCATTGGGTTGAGAAGAAATGGTCTAGAGAGCCTGTGATGCCAAACTCAGCCCGTGGAGCCTACTGAACAGTGTCTGCAATGTCTAAGTTTTCATTGCATCCACCAGAGGAAACATTGTCTCTGATGCCGCACAGATTCAAAGTCAACACACAACAGCGGTCTATAAAAACGGAATATCCAGCTGTCTTAGATAAATGCTACTAATTTTTACATAAAGAAAATGTACCTCTTGCGGATATTGTCTTCACGGGCGTCTTTTTATAACCTGTAAAGAAAGTGTGTCAATTAGAGGCCATCACTTAGAATACGATATTATGAACTTGACCTTAAACGAGAACAATTACATAATCCCATTAATATTATCCTCACACAGAATGTCTTAATTGTAGGGCCCTGGTCTGCCCTTATTTTTGGGGTGCATTTGCGGGGACAGTTTATGGTCAGCTAACTAAGCTTTCTGTGTGTTTCTGTGCTCTCCCTGCCCCGCCTGGTGATTAGCTGCAGGGCATTGTCTCCATTGTTAATATGGTAATTTCCCACCTGCCTGGGCGGAGATCCTTGTACAGCAGTTAGGTAGATAAGGACTCCCCCAATTCTGAATAAACTGGCATTCCGCTGATCTTCTTTTGAATGACCCCAGTCTCTGTGTGTGTGTTCTTTTCAATCTCCAGGCTCTTGCCCGACTCGCGTACGGTACGGTGGCGGGCAAACTGTACCGAGGGTGTAACACAAAATCGGGTGTTACAATTGGAGGCACCGCTGGGGTGATCATCGGCAACTAGACCCATCTGCGAGATCGGGAAGTAGGGATCCCTGAGAGGTCACCCTCGGGAAGGCTGGCCAGCAGGTAAGAAATTGAGTGATGAGGGTGTAACACAAAATCGGGTGCTACTCGTTTATTTTTATTTATAGATGATTATAGTCATTTTTTCCTCACCACAGCCGCCCACCTCTGCCTTCTCCTTTTCCTCCTCCTCACCATAACCAAAGTCTTTGGGGAACTGACGGCCAGGGGCATCTCCTCCACCCAACTGTAGGAACAGTGCCCGGACAGGACAGGACAGGACAGGCCAGGACAGGACAGGACAGGCCGCCCCCGCCACCACTGCTGCCTGCAGCCAGTCATTTTTGTTTGCTTGCTTTATAGTCCTGTTGTTATTTCTTCTCGTAGTGTCTATCAAACACAGCATTTTACAAATGCTGTGCAAAAACTCCACCACTGGATTAAACCTCCAGCTCACACATCCTCTTTTGGGAATGATTTTAACTGATAGATAAAAACGTAAACTTATACATAGTGATGGGTGTTATGTCACATTTCAATACCTGGGTATTGTTAAGTAATGTTGAGGTGAGGCTAAATATGTCTATCCCCTCAAATATATATCAATCCTTTTTATTGAAGCCTTTTAAACTCTTCCATACAGCTTTTGGAAGGTGTAATATCTTGCTGCCTGTAGCTCCCCTGCTATGCATCAGGATCAGGCAAAACTACCAATGATAAAATGTGTGAACACTGTTAAAATGTTATGAAATTATGATGCAACTACAAAGTAAAAATCTCCAGTTTGATAATACATTATCATGTGTTTTATAGTCCTACATCAGTAAAATCAACACCAAAGCTAGGTTTGGTAAAGTTTGCACAGCATACATGAAATTTGGAATTTTTTTGTAGTATTAAAATTCCAATAAGAATGACACATTTCAGCCAGGCAGTAGTGGTGCACACCTTTAATCTCAGCACACTGGAGCAGAGGCAGGCAGATCTCTGTGAGTTCAAGGCCAGCCTGGTCTACAGAGCTAGTTTCCAGGACAGACTCCAAAGCTACAGAGAAACTCTGTCTTGAAAAACCAAAAAAGAAAAAAAAGAAGAAGAAGAATGAGATGTTTCTAGGTCAATCTCAGACTTAGAAGTGCTAAGCTGACTCACGTGGTAGAAATGTATATGTGTTAATATATTTATCTTCGGAGCCTAACAGTCAGTTCTCTGATTATCTTCCAAGGAGAGCGCTTGCCGAGTGTCCTGTTCATAAGACAGGTGCAGCCAAGTGTGTATGGAAACAATGCTTTTCCTGCCAACCCAGCTCCCAGCTAAGTCAGCTGCACCTCATGTCAATGAACCTAAGAAATTCTCTGTGAACTTCAGGCTCCCTTCCCTTTCCACCGTGGAGTAGACTCCGAGATGATAAATGAGGCTTCAAATTTTAGGATGACTGACAAGAAAAAACTAAAAAACAACAGCTGACTGAGAAATCTAGAAATGTCAACTGTCGCAGAATATTTGCCTAACTATGCAAAGATGTTCTGCATTTGTCTAACTATGCAAAGATGTGCCGCTGTTTTACCTTGCCTGTCTAAGGCACCTGATTGTTCTAATCGAAAGCTGAATGGCCCATAGCAAGGGGAGAGGTAGAGGCAAGACTTCCGGGTAGAAAGAGTAAGTTGGAGGAGGAATTTAGGCTCCGGGAAAGAAAGAAAAAGAGACCACAGAGAGACACCAGGGGCCAGCCAACAATATACAGAGGAAGCAGAAAGTAGGTCATACTGAATGAAAGAAAAGGCAAAAGGCCCGGAGACAAAACGCAGATGACTGGAAACAGGTTACAACTGGTTGGAAGAGCTAGTGGGACAGACCTAAGCTAAAGCCAAGGATTCATAATTAATAATAAGTCTCTGTGTCTCTATTTTGGAGCTGGTTAGTGGCCCAAAGAAAATTCCAACTACAGAAAACAATGGGGTTTCTTGCGAAACGGTACTGGTTTTCTAGCACTGCTAAATTTCCATTTAGGCCTGGTATCCAGGCAGGCTTCGGTGTCAAAGGCTTCCTGGAAACCTACCTGGTAGGCACGCTGCCTTACACTCTTCCACGGTCTCAAATCGGTTCTCGTTTCCTCTGCATCCCCCATATATAAATTCTTCACATTGTTGAGTAAGAATATTGAAGAAATAACTCCTTATCATCGCCTTGCACGGCCCATCCTCTACCTTCATTGCACAAAATGTTTGCTTCGGTTTCATTGGCAGCGGCGCAGAATCTACAAGGTAGAGTAACAACATCACGCTTAATTCTCTGCCAACACCACGACAGTGTCCTTGTTGTCACCTTGTCAAATACATAATTTTTCACTCTCGATTTTTAAATAAGAAGTTAGAACAGAAAAGTAAAATTATTATGAGTTCCGTGACAGTCGCAAGCTGAGTGTGCATATATGTTCCACGCCTTTCATAATTTGTTCACAATTCTTAAAGATGACTGAAGCTTTAAATGACATGAGCTAATTAGTCCTCTAGAGGGCAGCTGTGCTCTGCTAGAGTAAAATCCATCCGCACAAATACCCAACTATAAAATTATTTTAAAATACTAAAACATGAGTGGACATCACTTCATTGCTTTCATATAAAAATATTTTAAAGCAAAGCATAAATTTGTATACTGTGCTACTCTAGTAATAAATTGATTTTTTTTAATTCCTTGCAATTTTAAAACAAACTTTTGGAAAATATTCATATAAATTTGATTTAGGTTACTTTCAAGTATCTTCTTCCATTTGTACTTTATTATTATAGTTATATATATTAAATATTTTCTAGCCATATTTTAATAATATTAAGATTCTAACAAATTGGTATGTTCTCATTTATCTGTTTATTTGTTTACTTATTTATGTGTGCATATTTGTGGAAGGCACACATGCACCCTGACTGTCTTTCTTCCACTACTCTCTACCTCTCACTAGCCAGGAACTCAAAAGGTAGGCGAGGCTGGCTGGCTTGCTCTCTGACAGTGGTCTCCAGGAATCTGCCTTTCTCGGCTTCCCCCCACCAGGCTTACACACGTGCACCAGCAAGGTGCAGCATTTTCTACATAGATTCTAGAATAAAACTCAGGTCCTGGTCTTGCGAGACAAACACATTATAATCTCCCCAGCCCAGACACTTATAGGATTAATAAAATTACATGTAGACTGCGGTAGTTGGGGTTAACTGTCAACTGGCAGAATCAAGAGTCACCTGGAGATGGTTTCTGAGCGGGTCTGGGGTATGGGTGGGGTGACTGACCGGGAGGACCCTGTACTTGGCTCCCACTCTCTGGGCTGGGATTAGACCGTGGAAGGGAAGGGAAATCTGAACTGGGCACAGACTTTGTCTTTTTTCTCCTTTACTGTTTTACATAAGCTCTTGTTTATAAGCTCAAGTGTGTGTGTGTGTGTGTGTGTGTGTCTGTTCAGGAAAACACAGAGCCCAAGTGCGGCCCGTTGTTTAATAGTTCTGCCACAAGAGGGTGAGAGTGTACCACAAAAGAGTTTCTTTGTTGTTTCAAAGTTGTTTATGTAGTTATAGTAATACCGGGATTTTTTTCTGAGTAATTAATTTCCCAGAACTTTGTTATAAAATTAGCTAATGATCACCATTTTGTCATGTGAGTGTTATCTTCATCTTACAACCAAAAAAAAAAAAAAAAACTGCAGAAATTAACTAAGTTGCTCTTATTTATACCAGAAAAAACAGAATTGACCATCACATGTTGTTATAACAGGTATACTACGCAATCTTTTTTTTTTAATATTTATTTATTTATTTGTTATGTATACAATATTCTGTCTGTGTGTATGTCTGCAGGCCAGAAGAGGGCACCAGACCTCATTACAGATGGTTGTGAGCCACCATGTGGTTGCCGCAATCTTAATAAGAATAATATTGTCACAAACCTGTATGACCGAAATGCCTCCGTTGGCATTTGGGTTAAAAAATTAGATTTAATAATGTGATTTCCACTCAATAGCATTCTAAGACTCTGGTTTATAAAGTTGCAAATCATTTTCCTATGAAAATCTGGTACTGAATCCTAGTTCCCTTTCCTGTGTCTTTGGATGTCAAAAAAAAAAAAAAATGTCTCAGTAGACTATGGGGCGCTCAGGGTTATGGGACGCCCTGATGCTAGGATTTTACTTTCCTGGAGACTGTTTGTGAATTTAGAGCCTGTGGGTTGCTTACTGTCTAAGGGTCTACATGCTCGTGCCTCTGGGTGTTGCAAAAATAATAAAAATCCAAATGAAAACAAAACAAACCTAGAGAAGACTGTGCAACTCATTGATCAAGAGAGCTTCAAGTTGAAGTATGGTTAATAAAAATTCAAAGACAATTATTGAGGTTCAACCTGAGGACCAGAAAAGCAAAGCAGCCAGCCACTGGCTCTTACCTCAGCCTCAGTGTGAAAATTGTGATCCTGCCTCCAGGAAACCTCAGAATGAGACAGTGACTGAGAGTTGTCTCCTCCCATTTTATAATCCTGTCTAGTTCTGGGATTAAGGATGTGTACCACCACCGCCTTTGGTTTCTATGGTAAACTAGTGTAGCTACTAGATTGAAGGTGTGTGTCATTGTTGCTTGGTCTCTAATGCTGGCCAGTGTGGTCCTTAGGTAAGCTTTATTTATTAAAATGCAAATGAAATGCCACTATGTCCCATCTACAATAAAGTCAAGCTATTGCCAGGTGAGGGACCCCTGCCTGCAATCCTAGCCCTGTGAGGAGAAGCAAAAGCTCGTAAGTGTAAGGTCAACCTGAGCTATGCAGTGAGAACACTCTACAAAGCTGTGAGAATTTAAGACTTTCACTCACCACTATTCCCTCCCATCAACTACAGTTTCAGGTCAGAAAATATACTTACCCAACCTTTGTTAAGGGGAATACACGAAACCAATTCACTAGAGATGAGAATGTATATATGGAACTCTATATATATATGTCAGAAATAAGATAAATTTGGAGACTATCACATTGTTAATATTTTCCATTACCAGTAACCTATCAATAATTTTATACAAAATGTTACTTTGGGAGAAATATATAAATTTCTATGACACCTGCTCAAGTTTTTCCTTTTTTAATTACTAATGTTTTTATTTTTGAGACAGTTTATGGAGTTGAACCTCACTTCCACACTAGTTCCTTTGATGTGCAGCTCAACTTGACTCCAATGTGAGTTTCATCTCAGATATTATTTTGAAAATACCGGTAAGAAGGAGAGGATGGTTGAAGCTTGTGGAGACAGTTCTTTTTCCTAGCTCAAAGCTAAAATCTTATCGGTAAGAATCTCCTTCAGAGCCAGGCTGTGCTGGTACACACTTGTGATCCCAGTACTCAGGAGGCAGAGGCAGGTGGAGCTCCGTGAGTTCGAGGCCAGCCTGATCTACAGAGTGAGTTCCAGGATAGCCAGAGCTACAGGGAGAAACCCTGCCTCCAAAAAAAACAAACAAAAGTCTCTCTTGCTGAAGTGACTTGGTTTTGTATAGTCTAAAACGTAACCCACTTAATAATACAAGAATTATGTTAAGGAAAATACTACTTTGTTTTACAAAAAAAACCCTCAGGGAGCTGGAATGATGGCTCAGCAGTTAAGAGCACTTGCTGCTCTTCAAGTTGATGAGGGTTTGGTTCCCAGCACACCCATGGTGGCTTACAACTGCCTATAACTCCAGTTCCAAGAGACCTAATGCTGTCTTCTGGGTTTTTGAGGACACTGCACACACACGGTACACATACACACAAATAGGCAAAACACATATACACATAAAATAGTAAAATAAAAATTAAGAGGTAAAATTTCCAACATGATGAAAAATATAAACTTTATACGAAATTGAGAGTTTTGACAAACAAACAAACAAAAAACCAGATCAACTTTGCAGCATTTACCTGTGGTTTCTGAATGTTCATCAACTTCCTCAGGCAGAGCATTGAGAAGCCCAGGGGTGACGCTAAGCAACAGACACACAGATGCCCAGAAGGCACGTTCTTTCTTCATCATATAAGTCATTTCTGAAATACAGAACACAAACATGCTTACTAAGGAACCCATGTGGATGTGTCTGTGGACCAGTGGGACTCTCGCACACTGCTCCGAGGGAACTGAATACACATTCTGAGGTTCACCTTTGAAACACGTCCTTGAACTATTTAGAGATACAGTCACATCTGTGCAGGGTGCATTTACTAATATTCGACGGGGAGCCATCTTTTAGCCTTGAAAATACAAGCTAAAGGGAAAACGCGTAGATGTTTAAGGGATTGGTGCGGCCTCTCACGTGTGTAATCGAGACTTACATACAGGTCAGGGAGGACATGGCAGAATAATGTGTTTTAAACGCAGCCTAAGATGAATTAATAAAAACATGATTTCAGTCTAAACAGGTTACACTTTCCTCGCCACTCAGCTGCTTTTCTTTCTTTCTTTGTCAGAACTAATTCTTCCAGTAATTTTTTTTTTTTTTTTTTGGTTTGGTTAACACTCTTCAGATAGCTTCCCATTTTTTATTACCCTTTCCGTCTGCTTTGGTCCCCCTTTGGGAAAGGAAGCATTTTCACGGTTCTCCCTCTTGGTTCTTGTGGTTTTTGTTTTATAGCCCACGTCTTAGCCAGGTTTTCTGTGAGGTAAGCAGGCAGTCACAGACGTGCCCCTCATCCCAGCCACTCCCTTCTTCAACCCCTCGGTTCACCTTTCCCCAGCTTACGGAGAAGCCAGGAGCCAACACTTTTGCACCCTGAGGGAAATGAATTCCTGCAGGAAGTGAGACATTTCCTGTTTCAAACTGATTTAAAGATCTAGATCTAAAAAGGAAAAGAAGTTGAAAAACACGTAGCTTAAAAAAATATGACTTCCTCTTTGCCCTCAAAGGTGAAAGGAAACGAGGACCACGGGATGTTGATGCTTTAGAGTCAGGAGCAAACGTGCGATCTACAGATACACCTTCATCACGGTTTTTATTGTATACGAAATTGCTTTTGTCAACTTTTACAGTTATAGAAAGATGCCTAAGACGGCATAATTTTTAAGGTCTAGAGACTTTAAAATTTAGAGATTTCTGTCATAATTCTGGAATTTGGAAAGTGCCAAATCGGGATACTGTTGAGTAGAAAAAAATAAATACAATTACATGAATGGCCTTGGAATACGTTAGTAGTAAAGTAACAAGTGCCATTTTACTTTCTGCATCATTAAAATCACTGACAAACTACAGTCTTGTTCCTCGCGACACACTGGAAACGCTAAAGCATGTCTGAATGTCAGTCAGCAGCAATGTAAGATATTTGTAGCTCATACAACAGACCACATGTTGTTACGAGATTCTGATACGCACATGTGATTACAGAGAGCCTTTCTGCTAAACTTCTAGGTTTGCGTTTACTTTTCAGACACTTTCAGAACCTTCTTTTTTTTTTTTTTTTTTTTTTTTTGGTTTTTCAAGATGGGGTTTTTCAGTATAACAGGCAGGCTGGCCTGGAACTCACAGAGATCCACCTGTCTCTGCCTCCAGAGTGCCAGGACTAAATAAAGGCGTGCGCCACCAACACCAGGGTCCTTTCAGAGACTCTTAAATTCTATTTGATTCCATGAAAAGTCATGGCAGCTGTATTTTGAATATAACATGAAGTGGGACTTTTGTCTGGGTGGTTCAGAGTACAGGCTTGGGTTGGATGCCTGCTAAACACTCAAGAATAGAGACTCTCAATCAATCACGTTGTCATATTTCAAAGCTGCAGCTTAAAATATTGCTTATATTTAGTCATTTTGTCTTGGTTTGGTTGCAAGTAGCCAAAGCTAAAAGCTTAGACGAATTAGGTCAAAATGTCATTAGCCACATTCCAGAAAAATGTAGAACTACCTAAGCCTAGAAGGGCCAATTTACGTTCATCTCAGAGACAACTCGATCCCGAGAACTGAGCACCATCAGGAGTCTCTAACTGCTTTATTCTCTGTCTCCGTCCAGCTCCTCTCAGTCCCTGCCCCATCTGCAGCATGGAATGTAGCCCTCACCATTCCTGGACACTGGGCCATAACGTTTCTTTACACACCAGGTCCAAACAGCTAGTAAATAACCCTGGCGATTCCAGTTTGTGAAAGAAAACCTTTCAGAGTAGGACCTTTAAGATGGCACATTCGGGGAACCCAAATGGATTACAAATTTCCCAAACTTGATTCAAAAGATGTGAAAGCTAGAAGGGATCTGGAGTGAGCAAGGCAATATACAGCATGGCTGATCTATTTTATGTGTACATATGCATCTATATGTCTGCAGTGCACACATGCATCTATGTCTGTAGTGCACACATGCATCTATGTCTGCAGTGCACATATGCATCTATATGTCTGTAGTGCACACATGTATCTATGTCTGCAGTGCACATATGCATCTATGTCTGCAGTGCACACATGCATCTATGTCTGTAGTGCACACATGCATCTATGTCTGTAGTGCACACATGCATCTATGTCTGTAGTGCACACATGCATCTATGTGTCTGCAGTGCACACATGCATCTATGTCTGTAGTGCACACATGCATCTATGTCTGTAGTGCACACGTGCATCTATGTCTGTAGTGCACACATGCATCTATGTCTGTAGTGCACACATGCATCTATGTCTGTAGTGCACACATGCATCTATGTCTGTAGCACACATGCATCTATGTCTGTAGAGGGATACCAGCAGGTATCTTATTTATTATACAGGATATATATTTAATCTAGTAAAAGATATATAGAAATTTAAGACCTAAATTGGCTAAAATATACCCATCTTTCCCAAAAGGAAAGATTTACTATTAATATTTACTGTTAATATTGTCATCACAATATTACTTGATGTAATCTATATATCTCCTGTAACTTCTGGGCACGCCCCAGCAGAATTTTCTTTTGTCAACATTGACAGGGAAATCCTAAAATCCATGTGGAGACTCTGGCTGTTACCATAACTAAAGCAATCACATGAAAGAGCAAGGCTGGAGGACTCACACTTTGTGATATAGGTGGATGCCTTTGCCATTTGAGCACATAAAGAGTGTGACGCATGCATAATGGAGCTGCAAGCATGTGTCCACAAAGAAGGACGAAATCAATTTAGTCCCAAAACACTGGGTACAAACGAAACCCGCCACGTTAAGTCCACAGAGCCAAACGAATGAAGAGAAAATAACAACACAGTCTCAAAGCAGAAGGATTGACAAAGGTGAATTTGGACGGTGAATTCTGACACGTGTATATGAAAATGACAGAGAAAATTCCACTCGTTTGTGTACTTAGTGTGAACCAATCATATGGAAAAACTGAAAACAACTCAAAGCTACAGTAATCGATATATGTTGGCAGCCGTATGGATTCACGGAGAACTGAGAATCATTAAACGGATCAATGTCTACAATCAACTGACAATGTCAAGGATTTTAAGACCATTCAGTAGGGAAATATTTATCTTTTCACCTGAAGATGCTGGCATGTATGGATAGCTGTGTTTCAACACAATGAGACTAGACCCTACCCTTGCATCGTAAACAAAATTACACCAAAAATAGGCCAATGACCTAAGTGGAAGAACTAAAACTTGTTATGCTTTGCAATATGACAAAAAATTTGGGATCTTATATTGGGCAAAAAATCTCTTAGAAATGACATCAAAAGCAAAAAGAACAAATGAGAAGAAAGTAAATTCATACAGTTAACATTAGAAGCATCTCCTACAAAATAGTCAGGGAAGAAAAATGCAAAGCCTACAGAGTAATAGGAAATACTTGCAAAGCATTTATCAGACACAGGACTTACAAGTAGCCAATGGAATTTTCACGTGCCCTTTGCCCATTCATGATGGGGTTTTGGCTGGCTTACAGGACATAGTATTTTTTGCCTGTTACTGTTAGCTGAGCCCAAAACCCCAGCAAGGTCATAGGCCTTGGAGGTGAAGCTAATACTGGCTAAATGGATATAATATTAAACCAACTCCTAATGGCTTCTCGCTGTATGCAGGGATCTGAGCATCTCTCAGTCCTCATAAGAGAAGCTTCTTTTTTCAGAAGATGATGATTGATACAGGCACCCATAACTGGTATGGAGAATAAGAATAGCTCTAAATGAGATAGCTGTATTGTGACCCATAGAGACCAAGGAAGTGGGAGGGGAGATTTGAAGAATGCTAGCTTTTTAATATGTTATTCATGAGAAGGCATGCTACAACCAGTAGACATTCATGGGTGTAGTCCAGCCTTTCTGCAGTGCACACATTATTTTGTCGTGTGTAAATTACCTAAGAAACTCATGTACTAATTTTGCACATGAGCCAGGCACGGTAGCACATGTCTTTAACCCCAGCACCCAGGAGGCAGAGGCAGGCAAAAGCAGGGGGGTCTTATGTGAGTTTGAGACCAGCCTGATCTACAAAGTGAGTTCCAGGACATCCAGGACTGTTACACAGAAAAACCCTGTCTCAAAAAAAAACTGCACATGTATTACAGTTTGATGCTAGTAACTTTGAGCTTCCTGGTGCATATTTTCTTTACTTTTCCCCCTTTGTTGATCTTTTAAGAAGTTTTATGGGGTAGACAGACATGGTGGCGCACACCTTTAATCCTAGCACTCAAGAGGTAGAGGCAGGCAGATCTCTATAGCCAGCCTAGTCTACATAGTGAGTTCCAGAACAGCCAGATTACACAGTAATCAAACAAACAAACAAACAAACAAAAAAAGGTTTATGATGAATATATAATCTAGTGAACACTTTCCTATGTCTAAAGGAACAGAAATTTTACTCCAGCTGATTCTTCATTTATGGTCCACCAATGAAGGCATGAGGGATAAACCTGACGGCTAGGAAGGCAGAAACATTCTGAGGAAACATCGTCCGCCTTCATGTAAGGTTCTCTTAGCAGTGTAGCTAATGCTGTTTGCTCTCTGTGTTCCTTACATCTGCCTGCACAACTCGGCTGAGCCCAGGGTCATGCCCGCCAAACCACAGCAGGCTACTTTATCAAGCCATATGCCTTTTT